TGGGAGACCTTCATGCTTTCTCTCCTGAGCAACCAGCTGATTGAAGAGTGCCCACACTAAGGACTGGCTAAGGAGGTCAGGAAGGCAGCCACTCCCAAGCAGCCTTTCCTTCCTCCTATGCCTATAGCTCCTAGGCACTGTTCTACATTTAAATGATCAGTAATCTCATTGACAGCCAGAGCAGTAGAGAGTTGTGCTGGATTCAGTGTGCAACAACTCATTCCAGATGTCACGACACACAGGACATTCAGCTTAGAAATTAACTATTGTGCATCAGTGCCACAGCCGCCTGATTTACATTATTCCCATGGAGCTGATCCTTAGACCTTTGCTTCCTCCACATCCACGTTCTGGGGCTCCAGCTACCCTCAGCCTGATGAGCTGTGACAAGATGCTGACAAGGTCCACAAGTCCTCCAGAGACCAGGCTGCAGGTGTGCAACCTACTTCCGGCATCACCATCACAACACCTCCTTGTGTTGGTCTTCCAAGATGAGAGGCATTAGAAATAAACTGTTAAGATCTGCTGAATGAGCAAAGCAAAAGGTGTACCCTATACCAGGTCCAAATTCAGTAGAGCACCACTTTACAGGACAAATCTTTTTGATGTTGCCAAGCCACAAATTTGAAGGCAAGTGCTTGCCCCAGTTTTCCATCTTTCAGGAAGTGTGTAGTTGTGTTCGCATTGAACAAGCTTTTTGTAAGTGAACATATTAGAGAAATCATTCAAGAGCAGTTTGTCTTTTATAAACATCATAATGATTGAACATTTTCAACTGAGTGTGAATAAAATTTGAGATGCAGGTGCAGAAATTAGTAACTAAATTTTTGTTTTGAATTCAGCGTCAAGTGGATTATTTTTTTCCTAATGATCACTGTCACTGTTTAATATCCACTGAAAATTAAACAAAATACAATTATTATCTGGATTGCAATTTTGTTATTGAAATAAATACATAATTGATCTCTTCCTGGGCGTTTTCATTTTTAAAAAAGATTATATTATTAAAGTTACAGGGAAGAAAGCAGGCAAAGTGCTAAGACTGAGAGCGCTGCTTGCTGCAGCACACACAGTCCGGATGCAGCCACAGCTGCCTTGTACCCAGCAAGGAAAATTTTAACTCTAGGCCCAGACTCCTGCTCTACCCCAACTGGTGTTAAATGTGCTATGTACTGGCAGTTAAAGCCTGCTCTCTTTTAGTTCATTTTGACAACACTAAGTGAATGACCCCTGAGATGTCTGCTCTTTGCCATTGAAGATTATGGTCTGAAACCTTTTTGGTACACATGGGTGGGGATAATGCTGCCTTCCAGAAGAGTCAATAACACAAAACCCACATTTTCAGATAAGATGTAGACCACAAAGAAAAAAAGAATTCTGCCATTTTTCAGTTGTTCTCTCCATATGAACATATTTCCCCCTTCCTTCTCTCTGTCATTCCTGCTTCTCTTGTGTTTTTCACCTTTTCTTTTAGTTTCATCTTCTTCCTTCCCTGTGTAAATTTTTACTCACAGAAAGCGAGTCCTCTTCCAATCACACCTTACAATCACACATCTAGCCTGAGGTACTGCTGTTAATTCTCAGACACTTATCAGTGCTTGTTGCTGCTCATGTTGAGTCTGTGGTACTTACCCACACAACTGCTGCTGCAGCTCCTCAGGGAGTGATCTTCCTTGGTTTTCACCTATTTTAAATTTTCTCTGTGTCCTGTGAAGGGTTTTCCCCTATCAGTTTGAACAACTCCCAAACTTCTCTTGGAGAAGGTCAGATCCCAACACCTTCACTGTGGGCACTCCAGGAGTCATCCCACTGAAACCAATGAGGCCTCATAAGAATTAACAGATTATTCAGAAAACTCATTTTACCAAGGGAACTTTATCTGATCTGCACTTGAGAGTTCATTTTGGCTGTCATGTGTTGCCTTGTTTAGATTTAGCAATTTCATTCTGGAGAGTTCATTTCATTTCCTAAGTTCAATTTATTATAAATATTTTGCAGATACCCTGTCCCTACCAAAGGCTGCATTTCACAGAATGGTTGTGACTGGATTATCTTCCTTTAGTACAAGGACAGGCTCTCCTTTTGCAAAGCACCTCTGTGTTATCTTGCTTTTGAGCTTCAGGGACCAGCTTCTCTTTCCAAGAGAGGAACAAGTTAACACTATAAAAATGTTCTCAGGTTCATACATACTTCTGCACAGCTTCACTTTCAGGTATGAAAAAATCCCACATTGATAAGAAAACTTAGATAATCACTGTTTTGTCTGATCACACCTGTAAAATCCATGATGCTTATTGAAGAGAGTAATTTGGTGATATTCATATTATAACGACACCTGGATTCCCCACAGGCAGAGGCAGAAACTCTTTCTGAAACAATTGGCATTGCTAGAAAATATAGTCAAATATTTACATAAAGAGACACTTAGGCCAACTGCACCTGTAGCAAACATACTCCTGAAAAAAAATCCAAGACTTATTTTTGACACCTGACACATCTACTGCAAACTGCAGCAGCATGTTGAGTGATACTAATGTGTGTAGCTGGATTAAGGGCTGTTCCTACTACCCTCAGATTAGGGAAGGGCTCTCAGTCATTCCTGTACCATCCAGAATACATACTTCAATAACAATGAAACTCCAGTTATGTTGAACCTGCACATTTCCCAGGATAATACATAATTTTAGCACAGGACAATGGAGATAATATGTGGATTTTTTCTGTTTTTAGCATTCTTTATTTATGCTCATCACTTTATTAAGTGATGTATAGTAGAGCTGAAATAGCAAATTTCAAGTGTTGAATGAGAATCCTTTTGATAGATCACAAAAAAAAAATATTTGGTCTTCACAGTACCTATCAACCATCTGCACTGTAAATACACTATTGGAAAGTCAGAAAATGGCCTGTGAAAGACCCTCTGCTTTCCTTTTTTCCCATCTTCTGTAAAATGATCTTTTAGCTGTGTTCATACACTGAGCGTCACAATGCCTGTAGCAGCCAGACAATCCAACTCCTGCAGTGAGATTAATCATTTGAGTTCATTTTAATGCATCCACTCCTTCTTGATGGTGTTACTCATTTGCACAGCCCCTGCATGTACCCAGGCACTGGCACTGCAAAGAAAAAGCCTCTTTCTTGAGGAACTGAGTCTCATCTGATTTATACTCTAAAAAAGGACTTGAGAGGTAGGAAGCAGTCTCAATGCAATGAGACTGCTTTGCAATGACATCTTCAGAGTTAACTTGCATCAGCTGGGATCTTTGCTGGGTCAGCAACATGGTCAAATGATGTTAGGAATCTTGGCTTCCACAGGTGTCATCTGGCTGTCACCATGTGTCATCCACAAGAGGTGATAGGGTTATAAAGAGAGAGAAGAGAAAGAACTTGGAGAATTTCCCCATTGGAAGATCTGCATGGTGAGATAAGGATAAGATGCTAAACTGTTCATCTAATTCAGGCCATTGTCCTGGCCCTGCTGTGCAGGGGTGCTTTGATCATCTTTCCATTGAGCCTTGTGACATAAAGATGAAGATGGAAGTGCCTGTTGAATCATCTCAGGAATAAAGGTACAGAGTGTTACAGAGCAGCTTAGATTGGAAAGGACCTCCACATCCAGCACAATATCCTGCACAATTCAAAGGCTGATCAAGGGCCTGGCCACCCTGAGTCCTGAATAGCCCCAGTTCCACACACTCAGGCACACATTCAAAGGTGATCTGGATTTTTTCTCATATATCCATCAGAATTTCCTGTTGTAGCATGAGCCCATTGTGCACCTCTGAGGAGAGCCTTCTCCTTAGACCCCCTCATCAATGAGGGACCACATCCCCCCACTGCCACCCTCAGCCTTCCCTTCTCCAGGATGGACAATCCCAGAGTCCCCTCTCTCCTCACACGTCATGTGCCCAAACATCCCAAAAGCCTCAGAGATCGATCATCTGCTGGACTTGTTTGACTTCCTTATCCCCCACTTGAATGGGAGAGCCCAAAAATTATCCAGACTGAGATACTGTTAAGAAGAATAAACCAGATGATGGAAACCTGTGTTGATACTGACATCTGAGAGCTGTGTTGGTTTGCATAAGACACAAATGAGACTTCAGACGTTAAGGTGTTTATTCAAACCAGTCCCCTAAAACTTGTGAAGTTCTTCCATCCCTAAATAATAAGAATACTTTGAAGATGTTTCTGTTTTCCTCCATCTGCTCTTATTTCCTTGGGAATTTGTTTTACTGAGAGAAAATGATGGTCTTTTTTTACTTTCTGTGAGCACCACTGACACATTGCTATGGAAACTGGAAGTTCAATATTTTAGTGTTATATCTTCAGGAAAAAATGCAGGTACTGCCAAGCCTATTCAAATTTATTTGCATAAGTTTTTCTTTAATTTATTGTTGTTTCTGGTTAACTGTGGTTTTCATCTGTACTAAAACTGTTTTTTCAGATGTTGGTTGGTTGGCACATAATTCATCAAGATGAAATGTGGTTTTCCTCAGCATGGTAACTGCTTATTAGCTCTCATAGAAATTGATTTATCAACCTCAGTTTGTGCAGATGGACCTAGATGTGTGCATACCTGGTTCAGAGTTTCTGGAGACTGGGCACAAGTGTTTTTGACAGTCTCAGGCTTTGGCAGTCCCATCTGAAATAATAAATTAACTCAGAAGATTTTGAAAGTCCTACCCACCAGGCAACCTAATTGTTAGGAAACTACCTGGAAGGAAAATAGATGGGGATTGGTCTCTTCTTCCAGGTAACCAGTGATAGGGCAAGAGGAAATCACTCCCAGGGTGTGGGTAATAGTAGGGGTGGCTTAGTGTGGAGGGATAGAATGTAAGAAAATAATGCGGAAGGTAGTGTCACACCTGAGGAGCTGCAGCTGTGCTAATCACCAAAGATTAGGAACAGGCTGCCCTTAACAGGCCACAGCTGTGTCCAGTAAGAAGACAAGTGCTGCAAAAGAGTGGGTTAGGTGGGTGAGGAGAGAGTTGGAGTTTGTTGGCTGTGCTGTGAAGAAGAAGGGGTCAGTGCTGTGAGGAGCTGCACGTGAGCAATCACTGAGAAGGTATGGAAGCTTTGCAATAAGAGGGCAACAGTTTAGACTGGATATTAGGAAAAGATTCTTCACTGAAAGGATTATCAGGTATTGGAACAGGCTGCCCAGGGAAAGGGTAGAATTAGTGTCCTTTGAAGTGTTCAAAAGCATGTAGAACCATTGCTATGTTATGGCGCTTAGGGACATGGCTCAGGGGTGAACCTGCCAATGCTGGGTTGGTGGTTGGACTCGCTGATCTCACAGGTCTTCTCCTGTATGAGTCTATGGTTGGCTGCCCATGACTGTGTGTAAAGACGCTTTGGACAAAGAGCACCTGGGCACTCACCCTACTGACCAGCCAGATGGAAATTATGAATTGAAGTGTTGTCTGTATTCACAGTAGGAACAACCTGATATGTATTAAATGCTTTTTCTTACCAAAATCAAGTAAGCTTTATAACAAAATACACTCAGTTTCTCTGGCTTGTACACAATAAACCAAAAGACAGATCACAGAGACCTCACCTGTGGGAACAGCTCCTGCAGTTACATCTCAAAACATGTGGTTATCCCTAACTCGTCTGATGCACATGTGCTCCTGTAAGTGATAATTGCAAATTAGATCTTTTACAAAATATTGAGTGTTTGTTAACACTGAATTTACATCACTGTTACAGTGTCAGCTGTCACCAAGTTATCAAACATCAGTTTTCCTAACTACCTTAAAAAACATAATCTGCCTTCAAGGACACTCAATGCCAAAACATTGCTGTTATCTAGTCAGTGAGCATTTCAAATTGTGTATTAATGTGTTGCAGGGTTAATTATGCTCATTACACCATTAGCAAATCTTATGCCTTCTCTCACATGTGCATTTCTGCTGTGCAGAACACTTGTGCTTATTACACAAACCTCCTGAGCTGTTATCAAGGCTGTCAGCAGGGCTCCTGCTGACACCATCACCCCTCACTGTTTTCCCAGGTGAGAGCAGCAGTTGCTTTGCTTTCTTCAGGGAGATTGCAAGTTTGGCAGCTCTTATGCCAGGAGAGAAGGAAAAAGCAAAGGGGGAAAGGTCTGCTCCCTAGGAGATGCAGGTGAGGAGATGGAGGTGCTTGTCTTCTGCTGAGAAGGAGCATTACTGTGGAAAGTCCTGACTCCTTTTAAAGTATATGCATTCTCCATTTATTGTTACATAATTCATACTGCTGGGGTGAAGAAATCTGGGAGTGACTATCCATTATGTAAACCATTTCTCAAAAATACCATTTGTTATGTGAAAAAAGTGAAAAAAAGACTGATGGCAGCAGCTGGGAAATAGAATCTGTGTTGCAATTAATTACTTAGACTAAAAACAAATCTCCAGGGTGGAAGAGGACATTTGTCTTACTTTAATTCTCGTTGTCATCCATGAGTGTAGTTTAAGGGGAGAAGTAAGCTAAAACCAAGAAATCATCAAATGCAAATGATTTGTTTCCTTTTTAGTAAACATCATAATCCAATCCAGAAAATGGCACTAATTCAATCCACCATGAAATGAACTGGAGAAACAAAGCAACACATTGTGTCAGGGCAAATGAGGGAGGTTATACTCCCTATAATAAGATAAATGTTATTCACAGCAATTGTAAAACTCTGATTGTTCATTTTCTTGCATTTCCAGCTGTTACATATTGTTGATTTAGAAAAGGTCACAATGGCAGGAACCCAGCTAATGTCAGTCTTGAGCCCTTGCACTAGAAAAAGTTACTGTGCTTGTAGAAATCTGTCCAATGGGAGGCACATGATAATAATTTTAAAAAAGCAATTAATAATGCAAAAAAATATTCATCTATAGCATACACTCAATTAAATGTGAAAATTACCCCAAGGGCATTTTAAATATTAATAAGGAACTTTTGCATTAATATCAGGGGAAAATTATTACTTTGCTGTTCATTATAGCTGGTGTGCTCATGAGGTTACATGGACAATAGAGGGAGGTTTGGGTTTTCTTTGCACTCCAGACTACCCAAAAAGGTAACCCCTGTTAACCATCATTCCTTTCAGCAAGAGACATCAGCTTGTGCATTGTAACTCATGAGGAACACACAAGAGCCCCAAGCTTGCTGACAAGTATAGTAAGAGATCAGAGGTCTGTAAGCTCTGAATTCCAAAAGGGATTGAAGGTTCTAAGGGCAGCTGGAAGTGGATCTTAATCAGAAAATTGCTCTTAAAATCCAGGTTACTTTAAAAATTTGGACTATGAAAAAACACAGTTCAGATGAACTACACAGAATTTGAGGCCTATCAGTCAGAATGTTTTTGCAAAACGTTGCCTCTCTCTTGCAGTGTGTAGACTGCAATAAAGTGTGCTCTTGTGGCCATTAATTCATTCCAAAGACCACTTAGTTATACAGCTCTTGCTTACTTAAAATTATTTTAATTTTAAAATTCAAAATGATTAATTGTGTGTAGAGGTTGAAGCTGAAAATATATTTCCCGCCCTTGCTATTCCAACCATGTAGTTCTGTATTAACACATTTAAAGTTCTCACAAACCTTGCCTAAAGACTCAGATCTACAAAATTTATTTGCCAAATTTGCAGACTTACTTTAAAACAAAAGCTCTTTCATTTTGTGCCCAAAGTGCCCAAAATGTTCCTGTTTGTTTTAAGAATTACTTTGCCTTTGTTGCTGTTCTCAGCCATATCAGTTAGGGGGGCAATGAGGAAAAATGATGACTTGTCAGTACAGAACAAAATGCTGCCAAGAAAACAGAAGGTCTGTGCTCTAAATCTGAATACTTCTTTTCAGATGGAAAATAAAAAATCAGGGAGATATAGGCAAATTATTACATATCTACTGTTTCTAAAATGAAATGTATCTACTCCCACAATCAGTCCTTAAGACATAAATATTCCTAAAGTTGATTTCAGTGACTTTCTTTTGAAGATGTAAGATATTACATATTTAGAGAAAATATGCAGAATATTTTCCAAGCATATGATTTCTAGGTCTAAAATCTAATCTAATTTCACCTAAGACATTTAAAACACAAAACTTTTCTCTATAAAAAAGAAATAACATATACATATAACTTCGTGCCAGTTTTTCTGCAGTTCACAAGATCATGTTTTAGGAGTAGAGCTAATTGTAATAGAAGAGACAGCAACAGCATAAAATATGTTGGTAAATTCAGATCTTTTTGAGGAAATCCATTTGTATGTCGGAAACCCAGCAGTTACCCAGCCATAAGCTGTGTTTATGTTATCAAGTACTTGCTGTCATTGTAGCAATTGTTGTAATTTCAGTGGAGAAAAATGGTTATTTGTCTACTAATAACGCAGAGGAGTAGTCTCAAGCTTGAGATCTAATAATACAATCTCCCTTGTTAAAACCAGGGACTCCAGTTTCAGGATAAACTTTATAATGTTAATTTACAGCACATGCAAATTATAACACAAGTTTTATAGAGAAGTCATATCTTTCATTAGATCAGCCTCTGTAGGTGGGGAAAAAAACCACAAGCTTTTGCATATAAATCCTTTTTTTGCATCCAAAACAGGTTGGAATGTTCAAATGTAAATTCACACTGAGAACAACTGCTCTGAATTTAATTAGAAGTGTTAATCAGTCCAACCAGATGAAATAAAAAGTTATTGGTATCTGTAAAGTAAAAGAAGAGGTGAAATGCTGGTTTTCTTTGGAGAATAAAAGGGTCCCACCATTTGTTTCTTACAGAACACTGAACAGTTAGTGAGAGAAAGGGATAATAATACTAATATTCCAAGAAATCACTAACTTCTTAAGGTACATGGCTTCACTACTGAGTAGAATTAGGCCTTCCTAAAACTGAAAGGTCAAAGAGTCGTTACAAGGGTGATGCTGGTAATGAATGGATCCATTCCTGGATTTTTATCTGTAAGTCACCCACTTATGTTGATGCGCAGTTATTTGCAGTGTGATACAACAACAGAAGTCAAAGCTGCTGGAATGCAGAAAAATGCCTCTCTGGCATAGGCCAGTGTTGGTGTTTTCCTGGAAAGAATAGCCATGCTGTGGTTATTTGTTGCCTTTCCTTCTGGCTTCAGAAAGGAGGAGTGCATGATCCCCACAAAGGCAGGGTGTGAAAACCTGGCCAGGGAAACAAACTGCCTCTTGCACGTATTCCCACCTCATCATCCCTGGTGTCTATTTTGTTTACAAATAACCCAAAACTGTAGAGGTGCTTAGGGTGCATATCTCCCCTTAAATTACTAGTCTGTTGTCTATTAAACTTCAGTATCTCTCTCTTATCTCCCGGAGCACCAGGATGAGTCTTGCACTCTGCACTGTCCCATCCAGCCCTAGGGAGGGAGCTGGGATAGCCCCAGCAGCTATCCCAGCTAAGCTGAAAGGGGCTCAGCTGAGATGACAGGGGAGTGAGAGGTGGTTGGGAATGTCGTAGAAAACTCCTTTCCTGCAGTCTAGATGCAGCTGACCTACTCAGCTCCTTCTTGCCTCTCAAAGCCACCCCTGGGCACATTTTTCAGCACGAAGGCTTACTGATGCTCATTCTGCAACACAATTAAATAGACTTAGCTATTATTCATACTTCCTTTGAAAAAGAAGCTGATGCACTCTCTAGCTGGATCCTGGGGTATTATGGATCCTAGAATTCCTTGAGTTCATGGGTCTACATGGCATCTAACAGGGAATGGGTGCTATTCATAAAAATTCTATTTGTGCTTTCTCAATTGATGCTGTGCATGGACCCATGGGGAAAGGGGATCTGGTTTTGGTTCTAATTTGAGTCTCTCAATTGTGTTTTTTCTGCTTTTCATCATAGTTCCATATATATGTTAAATCATAAGCACTTGGTATGATCCTGGTAGCTTTTCCTCCAACACTTATATTCTGCCATTTTATTGGTATGTAAGTTTCTAAAAAGAGCTGAGGATGTGAATGGAAAATATTCTTCTGTGTCTAAGATTTCCCTAAGCTTTCTGCATAGAAAGTGACATTTCTCTCTTAAGTAAGTTTGCAAAATAACTCCATGTTGCCATAGCTCTGTGAAATATGTAATTTTCTAGTTTTATTATACTGAAGGTAACTTAGATGTGGAAGAGCTGAAGATATTTTAGGAACAGCTGAGATCAGCATAATGCTCCCCTCCAATCTCCTTTGTCTTACAGGCCACAGGATCAGAGTCTCAAGCATCTTTATCAAGCCCCAAACCCTTCAGGAGAGACATCTGTCCTAGACATCTGTCCTTGATTGAAGGCTCTGAGGGGTAGAGTCCAGCATTCACCTAAATTTTCCCAATGTGTGTTCGCCATCACTGCTAAAAATATTTCACATTTCTAATGGCATATTATTTAATTTTCATTTAATGCTACTAATCATTATATTACAAGGTAAGCTCAGAAATTGTTGTAAGTTTTATTCGTTTTATATTTTATTGATGGCTGCTGTTTTTCTAGTCAGTCTTGGATCAATTAATGACATTCTCTGAAATATCCTTCACTGTCTCTGCATTGACCGATGTTATATTAAAGTACATTTGGACAAAAAGGTTAAAACCCTTTCATGTAATGCAATTAAAGTGAGCACACTTTTACATCCATCAGATGGGAAATCCATTGCACATAATCCATCACATGGTATGGATTTCAGCTGAAAAACTCAGATTTTGCTGTCTCTTGTGAAGTCCAAGGTTTATCATCTGAGGCAGATATTTGGAGTTCTATTGTAAACAGGGAACTAAAATGTGTCCTCTGTCAAGAAGAAAGAAAAGGCTTCTGACCATAATCACAAGGTGGGAATAGTTTTTCTGAAGTCAGTGACAATTAGGACCAAAAAATTAGCTTGAGTCTTACCTAGCATCTGTTTTTAACACATTACAGTCCAGCTTCTGCCATTCTTGTTAGCATTAAATAATCCTGTTCAAAGTTAAATGCTGTAGAAAAGTTACCTAGTGAAATGTACTTGTTTCTCTGCTAATGGCCAGAAGAAGGATTTGGGTATGAAGTATCAAAATTACAATATCAGAGTTATGGTAGATCTCTGTGCTGCTCCAATTCTCTGTAACCGTTTGAAGTGCTTAGATGGCAATTAAGCTTTTATCAGCCTTTCTGTTTTGGCCAGTGATTAGAGCTATAAAACCTTTGATCAATTTCATGGAATGGAATATTAGCCTCATTCGGCTTTCTGATTTCAATTTTTATAGGTTGCTGCTCTTTTAAAAAGTAGCCATTACATTTATTGCTGGAAATAAACAGGAGCCTGTAGTTGCCTTCCCACTTTGGTAGCTAGATTACAAATATAATTTTAATTTAAAGGTAAATAATACAATATATGTTGCTCCACGTGTCAGGCAGCATGGAGCCAATCCTGCTTGCCATCCCAACTGTCAGTTTGGTCCTGAAAGTGCAGATTTCTCAGCAAATAGTAACCACAGCCTCTTAGTCCTACTACTATTACAGCAGTTTTAGGAAGCAAAGGGAATATTTGCATAGAAAAATAAGCATTATTTTGAATTATTTTTTCAATTAAAGTTGCTTCTGAGAACTCAAGTGCAAGAGTAAAACAGGAATTTGAATTTTTTTCTATCCTAAAGAGAAGTCATTTTAAAGTGTAGAGTCTAACTCCTGAATGTTATAGGTCTTGTTTTCTTATAATTTAGAATCAGGGAGCCAAAAATGGTCATTCAACTGACCTTCTACATAAAACACACCGTTGAATGCCACTGATAATTTCCACAGCAAAAATATCTTTATGCAATTCCTAGAACATATTTTGAAAGGAATTGAATCAAGCAGGAGATTCAATTTATGGTGACTTTACTACCTCCATTAGCAAGTATTTAATTGGTTAATTTGGCATGAAGAGAAAAATATTGCACTTTGCATTTTTAGTGCTTTAGCATTCGACTATTGGATTGAAATCAGATTTACAGGAAGCTTTATAACATTTGCTTTATAAACAGTAAAATGCAACCCTCTTATGTATGATGAAAATACTGAATCCTGCTAGACTGCAGTGGTGTAGCATCTCTTAGTTGAGAGGATATTTTAATTTGCTTTTCATGTGACTTGCTTTAGCTTCCTTTTCTTTTGCAGGTCCCCCTCTCTGGCAGTCTCCAGACTTTACCTCAGTTTTCTCTTTGGGCAAGGCTACAAAATTGTTTCCAGGTTTGGCCTTGAGTCTTCAAAGAACTATTCTGTAGAATCAAGAAAATATTCTCTTTTTTTTTGTTGTTGTTGTTATTCATAGCATTTTTTGTAACTTTTGTTCCCCAACATCTTTCTGGGAGAACATATTGAGGTTATCTGCAATTAACTTTAAGGTCTTTTCCGAAGTGGCTCTTGAGCACAGTTTTGAAGTCTGAACTTGCCCTTCTCAATTTCAGTGTTTGTGACCTCTCCAAAAGCATGATGCCCTGTAAGTAAATCTATTCTGGTAATTTTTGGAGCCAGATTTTTGTTGTCCTTTTTTTCTTTTTCTGTTTCCATTAAGCATTTGTGCTTCACATACTAAAAGGTACAGAGACTGCTGTTTGACCTGGGATCCTCTATGGTGTTTCTCCCAGGCCAAGTTACTTTTTCTGTCAAAAACCCACTGCTCAATAGAATAAATATACATCAAGGGCTCCTTGTCTCTAAGTGCTCTTTATTGTCCCTTTGTCCAGGAAAGGGCCTGCCTTAAGTGTGCCCTTGAAAACATATTAATGATTCCACCATGATTTTGTTTGACCTTTTATTGAAGCTTTTCTCTACTAAGCCAACAGCTTCTAATGCTCCCTTGGGTGGATGGTCAGCAAAGGCTTAAGGATATAATACCAAACCTGACAACTCCTGGTTCTCTTTCAGTAGCATTTTAAGATAACTATTAGAAAATCTGATCAGTAAAATGTTCTAAACAAGACTCCAGAATACATAGAGCATTGGTTTTTAAAACAAAAGTAGCAATGGTGAGATCCAGAGTTTCCTAAAGTGCTGAACTTGCCTTGGAGGTAGATGTAGGGAAGAAGTAAAGACTTAAAAGATCTTAAATTCCTTGTGAAGTCAATGGAAAGCATAGCTAGGATATCTCTGAATGTCAGGAGCAGTAGTATTCCCTAGAACTAATCATTGTTCCCTTCCAGTTACTGTCCAGGAACTGGTAGAAATCAGTAGGAATTATAAAGAGTTACAACCCAGCACTTCCTATCCCTCTCCTGAGCAATAAATTGATGGGGAGCAAAGATTTAAAAAGTTAATAGCACTGATAGTGGTTGCCCCCCAGTCTCCATGATCACACAGTTTACACAAAGGTGAACTCTAATGCAGTTGGCATGGGAAGGGCTTCAGGCAGCCCCAGAGCTGTGCCCAAACCACCACAGTAAATGCAGTAAGTGCTCTTTCCTTCTCCTGAGTCTCTGTTTAACTGTGAGAATAGAAAAGGACTCTCATTTGGGAAAGGGCAGGGAAAATAAACAAATTCAATCTGAAGTCCTATCGGTATTTTTACAGCTGTATACTCTATAAAACTGCAACCTTTTCTCACATAAATGTAAGCAGGAATTCTAGCTGGTTTTACAAAACTTTATTCTGTTAAAAATGGAGATTATTTGTTCATATAAACACAAAAAGAAAGCCATTTGTGACATTGATTCTTGTCCCACAAGTTAGGTTGTTTTTTTTGACTAGGAAAAAAGGCAGATATCTTTTCTGAATATAATTTGGAATACCTTTATCAGTATATTTGCAATCATGGGGTTATTTTTTTCCACCCCTTGTAATTGTGCAAGCAAGTGAAAAATTTATCTGGATAGAGAAAATTCATAAACTCATGATAAACTATAAAAGAGAAACAGATTTGCTTACATGATGAAATTTGGCAGCTTTGACATCCTTTCCTAGAGCACTATCAAATAACAATAATTCAACAGGGTGATGAATCAGAAATAGAATGCTGACCCATACACTGATTCTGTCCTGTGATAATCAAATATTTCAGGCTTCAGTGCTGAGAATTGCCATATGGCCTAAATATTGCTATAGGCAAAAATCACTGAACAGCTTAATACTACATAGGGGAGGGGGAAATTTAAAAATATTTTTGTGTTCAAATAGGATATTTTACTCTCATACAAGATCTGGTATCTCAACAGTTTTAGAAGTTATAAATATGACACTTCTTTACTCTTCACCACTGTTGCTTCTGTAGGATCAAGAACGTGTCCTTTAGGGATGGAAGGACTTCAGGAAGTCTCAAGTCACACCTCCTAGTCCTGGCTGGATCAGCTGAGAGGTCAGTTTAGGCTGCTTAGAACTTTGTTCAGTTTGAGCTTGAAAATCTCCAGAGATGGAGTCTGCACAATCCCCCCAGGACCCTGTCTCCCTGCTCCACTATCCTCACAGAGCAAAAGTTTTTTACTTTTACCCAGCCTGACTCTCTCTTTTTTTTTACCTTAATCCCATTATCTATCGTTCTCCTGTGAGGCATCACTGTGAAGAGCCTGCCTCTGTCCTCTCTTCCTTGTGGGTACAGGCAGGCTACTGTCCCGTGCCCTGAAGTTGTCTCTTCTGGGGTCTGAAGAAGCCCAAGTCCCTCAGGCTCTTCTCCCAGGGCTTCATCCCCATTGCCATGTTGATGGTCTTCTGCTGAGCATGCTGCAGATCAGGGATGACTTGTCCTGGGAGGCCAAAGCTGGGTGCAGTATGGTCTGACAAGTGCTGAGCAGAGGTGGATGATCTTTCCAATCCACTGATTCTGTATCAGTGATATTTTTGCCTGACATCCGGGAGGAGTCATGCATCTGACTCCATTGATACCAGAAGGCTAATTAATTACTTTATTATACTATATTATTCTATATTATATAACACTATATTACATTACATCTAAACTGAATCTACACAAAGCTGAGTAGAGGTGTATGATCACTTCCATCCACTGATTCTGTATCAGTGATATTTTTGCCTGATGCCCAGGAGGAATGATGCATCTGACTCCACTAATATCAGAAGGCTAATTAATTACTTTATTATACTATATTATTCTATATTATATTAAACTATATTAAATTACATCTAAACTGAATCTGCACAAAGCACCCAACACAACTCAACTGCCCAGAATCTTGTGACTGTCTGCTGACAGACAGAATGCACATGTGCTTGACCCTGATAGGCCAAGGAAACAAAACACCATCGCCTTGGGTAAACAATCTCCATATTGCATTCTACTTTGGCACAATGCAGGAGCAGCAAATGAGATAAGGATTGTTTTGATCATTCTTTTCTCTGCTTCTCTCAGGTTCAGAGAATGTGAATCCCACAATTCTGATTCATTTCATGTATCCCAGGAGCTGTTGGCACCTCTGCTGCCAGGGCTGGCTCAAGCTCAGCTTGCTGCTCACCAGGAGCCCTGAGGTCTCCACAGCAGAGCTGCTCCCACCAGCCAGTGTCCTCCTTCACAGGAGCAGGACTTTGCATCTCTCTACTGAATTCCAGCAGGAGTGTTGTCTCACTCCATCTACAAACACAAACGGCCCTCCTTCACCTTAGTTTGGTCAGCTCCTTTTTGGTCTCAGCCACAGATCACTGATGATTCCTCATCTCCATTCCACTTGGGATCTGTGAAAACGCCAACTTTTCCTAGGGTAAACTTCTTACCTTTGGAATTTATGTACTTCTGGGACCTGCTTCATTTAAGTAAACCCCAGTACAGCTGTCTCAGAAAATGCAGAGAGGCAGGTGAGCAGCACTTGTGCTGAGCAGAAAGTTATTTCCTGGATAAGAAGTTTGATGTTTGAAGGGCTGTGCTGTGGAGCGTGGGATTAGTCACTTGCCAAGATAATAGGTCTGACTCTCTGTGGTGCTACTCCAGCTGCACTCCTTCCTGTGCATACCCATTGTAACAGCTCTTAAAACTGCAGTCATACAGCAGTGAATCAGGCCTGGAAAGCTTAAGAAAATAAGAAATGGAGGTGTGGTGGGAGGTTAATATCCCTCCTACAATAATCTGCAACAGTGAAAGCAACAAAACTACTTTTTCATGTGAAAGAAATGTAATCTAACTCTCAATTTTCTGCACAAACCAAAAGTGTTAAAGTTCAACAGCTATTTGTAAAATGTCCCTAGTTCACAGCATAGAATGCTTTATTCTAACTTGTTTTCAATTACAATTATCACTGATGAAGTATGCAAAGAGGGAAAATAAGGGAAGAAAAATAGGGAAAATAATATTCAGTGAAAGTAAATACTTCAAAGCACCCAGAATTAAAAAAAATCAGACCAACACTTTGCTGTATTTCTGTACAATAGAGAAGAATTCATTTTGTTTCTTCTAAGTTGATCTGACACCATTATTATTCAAGGATGGAGATATATAGTTCTAAGAGTTTCATTCCTATGGTATGATAAATCAGATCTCATCTATTTTATTTAAAATAGGTAGTTGTTTGAGGGATTCTTACTAGTGCTGAAGAAAAAGAAAAAAAATCATTTTAAACAAGTTCTTAGCTTTCTTTCTTTTACTTCTTATTTTTCTTTCTTAACCCTAATTTTTATGACAAATACATGACTATGTGACAGTGAAAAACTGACCTTAATGTTAGAAGTTTCTAGCAAACTATTTATGCTAATTCATAGGGAACATGGTAGACTACTGAAGAGCTGCTCTTGGGTCTCTAAATACATTAAAGAAGATTTTGATCAGAAGGCTCAGCCTTTTACTCAGAAGAGAAGGTTTTATATGTTGGCAGATCCATTTGATATTATTTAGGGAGTAATACTCTCTCTACATTTTCAGAACTTTATGCTCAATAATGCTTTACAACAGTACTGATTTCTCTGCTGCATTGACAAGTTATCCCACTGAGCAATAAGAAATGCAGTATGAAACTGATGAAAAAACTGCATAACAGTTTGATTTCTGCATAATTGAGTTTCCCAAATCTACCCTCAGATGTAAAGTACAGCTCTGTCTAGTTTGCAAGAGCAAGACAGAGAGACACATATCTGAACAAAAATCAGCACATACTCTTTAATTCCTTCACAAATCTGCTTAGTACATTGACATCATTATCCTATTACTCTATTATTACTCTTTGCTGGGGCAATTTCCCTGACACAACTTTCCCCTAAAGGCTTTGGCTTTCCTGATATAAAAAGGAGTCCGGACTCAATATGTAATTTTGATCTTTAGTTCTGTGTTTTGCAAGAGAAAATGGGATTGTGGCAGCAATACCAATAGCAAAAGAGTGAACTGTCTGTGATCTGCCTTCCAGCAGCAAAGCAAACTTGCTCCTTTGCTTATATCATTAGCAGACAGATTTATCATTGTTGTGTTTAATGTTATTCAAGAATAGGTCCCCAGAGTGCTTTATGGACACAAATTGAAGGAAGTCACTGCCTCAGAGAATTTTCATTTAAAATGAAAATCAAAAATAGGAGAAGAGCTATCTGCAAGCAGAGTCAAGCAATACTAC